AATGAATTAAAATTTAGAAACTTCAATAAATATATTTATTCAGACCAATGAAATTTTATAAGGATTTTTTAATTTTTTTCTAGTTTCTATAAAGCTGAAGAAGAACTATTGGCCAACATTAGCAACAAAAGGTAAGTAATTGTTTTCAAAATATCAATGTTAGTACAGTTAATTTTTAATATACCTCTTACTCTAAGCAGTAAACATGTCTCCATATAAAATTTCTGTACGTGACTCCCTGTGCATGAACATTCTTTTATCTGTGAACTGAACACCTGTCTCGGTCTCCTTTTCTCAGTCTCCATCTCTCTCCCTGCAGGCTCACCGGCTCCTCCCGAGAAGCGCATAGCTGGGGTCTTGGGACTCACCTGCCTTGTGTTGATATGCTTTATTGTGTCAGTGATTGTTAAAACTCCAGGTAAAATTATGGAAGATTATAATGGACTTTTCACATAACTATTGTCAGTACCTTTAAATATTTCATAAGTGGAATAGAACTATTATGTTATATATGGGTTTAGGTAAATGTTAAATGTTTAATCATAGCTTCTCAAAATTATAAATATACAGAATGACTGTAGACATTATTTTATATCGATTCAGATCTCATGATTCAAAGTCACATTTTAGGAGACTGAGAGAACCTATTGAAAACTATGAAATAATATTTGAGAATTGGTAACCACGTACTGGAGCAGATGGGAAATTTGACTCTGAATTTTTGTGAAATTTACCCAAAGATTTATTCTTGTATTAGTTTTCAGGAAAGTCATCTTTATTATAGTTTATTACTATAACTCTACCAACATACATTTCTAACTTATAAATATTGTAGTATTGATTATTACTTACTTAAAACACTAATAATATTTACAAGAGTTACTTTGGTTTTTTCTAGATACCAAAAATTCAGAGCAGGGTGATTTATCCATAGAAAAAAAGAACCAGAAAGGTACATGATGATTTCCAATATTCTGATGGTAATAGAGTTTATACTGTATAAATGTTAGGCTCTGTAAAAAGAGTAACACATTTTCTGGTAGAGTATACATTATAAAGGCAAATGATGAATGTCCATGAGTAATGATAACTGGGGTCATCATATCCAAGATCAGGAAGAAACTTCACTGGCAACCTCCACATCCATGTGACCAGTTGGCTCATGTCCTGCTGCTATTATATGATAGAAACAATTTACTACTAAAACATGGCTTCATTTACTGATTGTCAGGACATACACAGTGGACATTTCTGGTTTGAATTTGGTTTCTATCTGGGCATAAACTATAGCATGAGAGGCTGCCCCTTCTGTGTGTGTGTGGTTTGTACCCACTGTGTGTGTGTGGGGTGTTATGTCTGTGGATGTTCATATCTCAGCATTTATATGTTATGTCTTATTACTACAAATAATTTTAGGTAATAATTCAAAATCTCCAGAGTACAGTTGCGGCTCTTGCCCACAGGGGTGGTTCACTTACTCCAGCAGCTGCTATTACTTTAGTGGTGAGAGAAAGAACTGGAATGAGAGCGTGACCGCCTGTCAGGGAAACAACTCTCAGCTGCTCTACATAGACAGTGAGGAAGAAAAGGTAAGAAATTCAGTGTCCCAAACACCTCATAGAAGATTTATTCTGGTCAATTTTGTATTCATAGACTGATACATATTTTTGTACATAACTGTAGTTTAAAGTTTGTGTAATACTCCATTGTTTGACTCTAGTATTTTATTAATATTTCTGGACGTTGAGTGCACACTTGAAAAGCCCAGTGCATGGCTTTCATAGAGAACCTTGTTTCCCAGATGTACATATTTAAATAGACATTGTCGTTTCATACATCAAGTAAAGGCGAGCATATTGTGATCAGACAGGTTAATCAACATGTGAATGGAAATTGTAGAGCAGATCATGTCTAGAAGTCCCATGCTTCTCGCACGCAGATGCCTGTCTGTTCTCTCTTCACTCCTGCTGTCTGGGTATCTAACCACTGACATGTGATTTCATGTTGGGAGCCAGGGGCGTGTGCTCTTGGGGCTTCAGTCCTGAGCCCACAGCCAACCCTGCAGGATGACCTGAGAAGGCAGCAGACAGTCGGTCATGAGGCTTAGACAGATGAAGTCTCCTTGTTGTGACCTTCAAGGTAGAACATGAAGCTCAGCAAGGAAGTGCCCCTTCCTGCTGTTGCCAAGTGGCACCTCCTGGTACCAGCAAGGTGCTAATGTTGCCAATGCATCACCTTGCCCGCCCTCCCCTTGCCCAGTAGAGTGTAAATAAGTAAGTTTGCGGAGCCAATATTGGGTCTCTGCATCCTGACAGCCCTCAGTCTCAGCTTTCACTAGCACTTCTGCCTGCCCTTAACCTCCCCATTCTCCTTCAGATCTTGCTAGACTGGGCGCCCATGACAAGGTCATCTGGGGGATGGCGGAGTCTGGGCTGCTGGCCCCTAACAATTTCAAGATTTGTGTTCTTGTTTGTATGCTTAAATGCATATGCATTTGTTCGTGTCTCATCACTCCCCTATAATTCCCCAGTAACCCTCTGCAGGATTGCATTTACCTGCTATTTGCTAATTTTTACTGCAGACTTTTGATGCAATATTTTAATATTTACTCTCTTAAAAAGTAACAGAGGTGGCATGTGACTGCCATCTTCTCAGAGATAAAGGAG